CCTCCTGAAACTCAATTTTAATCCAAGAGTCACTATAATGCTATTACTCAGTTCTGAATTGTGAGCATTAATGTACAAGCAGAACTGAGATGCGAGTTTCTGCACCAGGAGCTATCATCCTTTTATTTTAAAATGAGCTTCAAAGTAGCCAGGAGCAGAGTGGATCTGAATGTACTTTTAATTAGGATGGCTTGTCTGAATGAAAAGATCTCTCATTAAATGTTGAAGTGTCCTTTAATAACCTTGCAGTCCTTTTCTATCATACTCTGCACCAGCAGTCTACAGGTGCTGCTTTTAACTTCACACAGCTTGTTTGTCTGTCCTGGACAAGACCTCTTGATGCAGTTATTGCATCATCCATGTCACTGATTAGTTGGCTTGATCAGGCTTACTGCAGAAGCTTCTCACGTAGCCTGTCTTGAGACATGTGGAGGCTAAGGTTGCCTCTATCCATAAGCACAGGAAGGCAACTGGACAAGTCTCTCTTGCTTTTACTTCTCATGATGCTAGTGAAAAGACATTATTGCCTCCTAAAGCAGGATGTGCCAATGTCCTGTATTGGATATGCATTTGGAGTATAGGTTGGCCCACACAGAGTGAAAATTCTGGGTTAGCTGTGGTGATCAGATATGTGGCACAAGACAGTAGCAGCATTTTTTTTACATGTGGGTATTGCATTTGGAGTTTTTTGGAGTACACTGGCTCTGATAGCCAATGAACGTTTCTGTAGAGTTCCACTAGAAACAAATGTGACTGTGATTGTATTATGGAACATATTTTCTCTGTCATACAAGTTTATCTTTCTGAATAAAAAGCAAGGTTAAAGAAATGCTGCTTTTAAGAGGAAAAGGCTGGAAAGATGACACAGTACCTGAAATAAGAGACATTCTCTGCAACATAATCACCATATTTCTGTTGAGGAAGGGAGACTGCTGACCCTGAACACTGGTAAGCAGGCTATCAGAAGAGGCAACACAAGAAGTTTATGAGGAAAACCCTGCAAGTCCTCTGCCTCTTTGCAGGGAATGTTCAGCTGCTGCAACAGCAAGCAGGCAAAACCTGTGTGCATCCTAGAACCAAAGCTAAATATTAGCTACCTCAGGCCTCAAGGGACTTGCCAAGTATCAGGAAGACACTAGGTGCGTACACGTGTTGCCTTTTTTTCTTTGGTGCTTTCCCTTTTTGTCCACAGGGTTCCTTTTTGGACCTTTTTTGTATGCTATGGACCTCTTTCTTGTTACTGGAGACAAAGTGATGCTAACGGGTAGTGTTGTGGTTTTGCATGCATGCCAAGTGGCTGTTAGTTCTGTGGGCCCTGTACAGAGTAGTCTTAAGCAATTCTGTGCTAGATCACATCTATTCCTGGTGTATGGTAAAGGTTTTGCCTTTCTCAGATCACACGGAGAACATAGCTACTCAGCAAGTGGATTTTACACTGAGGGATGCTCTCTGGTAAAAACAGCCAGAGTCAAGCTTGTATACTGCCTGTGCAGCTGTACTCAGTCACTGTCACTGCACTCGCTCACTGTGAAGAGGAAGGAGGTTGTGTGTATTTTGTCTTTGTGAGGGGGTGGAGGAATCCTCGGCTTTTTGCATTGACAAAACAAATTGTTAGGTTTCCACTGCAGTCTTCTGACCCTTTGTGTGTTCATGTCTGTTTGCCTGGAAGATGTGACTATCGCTGATGCTGATCAGTGTGAGCCCAAGCCTTGTAGCCTTCAGTGAGCCATTCCAGTGAAGCTGTAACTGTCAGTGAGCTTTGAAATGAGACTGGAACTACGGTGGGTAGTAGCTAGAAGACAGTAGAATTGGAGCTACTGCAGACAATAGCCTTCTAGGAAGAGGACTGTAAATGTTAAGGAACGTTACTGATGCGAGATGGAAAGAGCAGATAAAAGGAACCAGGAGGTTAAGTTTCCTCTTGTATTACAGTGCTAATTAGAATAATTGAAGAGCTACCTCCTGCTGTAGCTCCAGGCTAAAGCTGAGCTTCTGCAGGGTAGTCAGAATGTGGACTTGACAGCAAGCTCCTTCAGAAAGAGGCTTGTGAATAGTGTGGTGAGCAGAATTAGTGCTGCCTTCTATTTCTGGATATTACCTATATCCGTTACTGCTTTGGAGCACAAGGTCCGTCTATTCTGCAGAGGGTGTCTGCTCCTCTCTGAATGGATGTGTGGTGAATTGAGCCACCTTGCAATTTTCTCTCTGTGGTAGCAAAGGATGCTCAGGTATTGTAGGCAAAGAGGGCTTAACTGTGCTGTTTAGTGCAGGGAAGTCTGCAGAACAAAATTGTGTTGGTGTGGCAGGGCGGTTGGAGCAGAATGACAGAGGCTGGATTCCTGGTGTTGGACAGGAATGCAGGTGGGGAAGCAGTGGCCCCTGGAGCCATCTAGAAAAAACAGCTGCCTTTCAGAGGTCAGCTACTGGTCTGCACAGGCATCCTGCTCGGTGGAGAATGGTTAAAAGACCTCCCTTTTCTGGGACATGATGAAGACAAGGAGCTGATTTCACTGGAGGGTTCTGGCATTAGATAGTAGCCTGATGGTGCAGCAGTTTGCTGCTGACTTCTGCCCTGGCACCTGGCCGTGGGTTGCTCTGCTTATGCCTAGCTGTTTCCATGTGTTGTGCTGATAGGTGACTGACACCAAGTTTCCTTTCTCATGTTTCAGGAGCTGTTGGCCAGATGCTGCTGGATGCTGACAGGGGAAAGCTGATTCGGAGACAAGCGGCCAGAAATGTTTGGACACGTTGTCATTTTGGATCTGTAAGTCCTTGTTTGAGGGAAAGTTGCCTGGAGGCACTGTGAGTATTTAAGTGTCTCTGGAAATTCTCAGATCATGAGGGTAGGTTTCAAATCCCGGTATCTTTTCCAGGTAGGGGGGGGATGAGATGGCAGGTAGTACAGTTTCTGGCTCTGGGGTAGGAAGCAGGACAGTCCTGTTTGAGCCTGAGGAACTGTGTGCTGAGAGACAGGGAGGCCTTTGGCATCTTCGTTCTGAGCACATCTGCAATGGAAACGTGTGGACCCATGGTGCAGCTGTTCCTGGAAGCCTCTGCTTGTCAGCCAGCCCATGTGGCTGGTGGTTTTGCCTTGATGCTGAACCAGCTCCTGCTGGGGGTTGGTGGAAAAGCAGATTCAAGCTATGCTGGCCTGGTCCTTCCTGGAGGTGCACGTTGTCCCTCTCTCTCTCTCTCTCTCTTTCTCCCCCCGTACTTTACAGTTTGCCCCGCAGAGCAGTTATGCTGTTATGAAGCTGTTTTTACCTGTGCTAGTCAAGACCTGACTATAGCATTGTAGTAAGGAAAGGGGCCAGACAGCTTGTTGGGGCAAGGCCAGCACTAGGGCACCTCTTCAGTTTGTTCTGGCAAAGCTTGAGTTTGCATGGTCCTGGTTGCCTGCCTGTTCCATTCACCTTCAGTCTGGCTCTCCCCATGTGCGTACAACTGCTCCACACCCTGCACTCCTGTCCTGCCTCCCAGGGCTTGGTGCCATTGCCACGGAAAAAGCAGTACGGCAGCAGAAGTGCATCAGGGAAGGGAAGGCTCCACTGCAGTCTCTCTTGTGCCAGTGGCAGAGTGATGGCCACAGAGCTACAGTCTTACAGCTGGCTCCCAGATCAACCCAATTCTGTTCTTGTAGTGATGGGTACCCTGGGCTTTGAACAGAGGGGAAGGTTGTTTTTGAAGTTGTGTTGTATCCCTGGTTGGCTGGACACTATTTTACAGAAGCCTGTTAGCAGCAAGGTAGAGCGTGGCATGCTGCTTGCTGGAAGTGGGAGAGTAGCTTGCCTTCCTCTCTCGTGGAGGTGTGGGTTATCACAGCTGTAGGCACAAGGATGTAATGTTTTGCCTCAAACGAGAGTCTGATAATTGCCAGCTTATTTGTAAGTGAGAAGCACTGACTTAAAAGGATGAGTGAGGTAATTGTTAGCATTACCAAGCTTCTGTACCAAAGGCTTCACAGTTAGCATCCCTCTGTAGTAGTGGGGAAGATTAGCTGGGAGGGTCCCATTTCACAGGAGGTTTGTTTAGTCCTTCCTGGAACCAAAGTTCCCTTGAAGCTATTGCTTCATGAATTTTGAGTTTGTGTGGTCCCAATTGCCTGAATGCCTTGGACATGTCCTTGCCAGGTGCCTTTCCAGCTCCTGCTGGCTTATATGGCCCAACTATCCTAAGCTAATTTCATTTACTTTCAGAAGATCTGATGTGGGTTGGGGCAGGTACCTGGAGTGAAATGACCATCCAATTGTTCTTGGTTATAAACATTCCCCATTCCTTACGTATTTATGGGGGTGAGATTTCAGACTGGCTGTTTTGATGGATGCTAAGCTATTTGTTTCTCTTCAGGGCATCTGAGTGAGTGTCCCTGCTTCATGAGGCTTTGAATTTGAGCCCAGGCTGGTAAGTGCTCAGGTCCTTGTGGGCTAGAGAAATGATTGTGATTTCAGCTTGGGATATCTCCATGTGCATCTGCTGTCCTTAGCCTGGCAGGAATTGGCAGAAGAGTCCCCTAGATCACCTGTTTGATGGTGGGCTGTTGACACACCTGCTTCTGGTCAGGATTTCAGCATTCCTCTTTGAAGAAGAGAAATGTCTTCTCAGCAAGTCAGACCCATCTGTTTTGCTTGGGGATGCAGCGGAACGTGCGTTTGGTATGCTGGATGTGATTTTTCTAAAGTATTAGAGATCTCTTCACCTACTTGAGTCTTTTTAGGAGAAGGGACCTTGAGGGAAAGACTGCAGCAAGGGGGGAGTTTCCAGCATTCTGATGGTGGAGATTTACAGGTTAGTCCTAGGAAGTTGTTTGTGTCTGTGGAAAGGCATGAGAAACTTTTGTGAGCTTGTGTTTTTAGCAGAGTGGAGGACAGCTTGCAAATGTTCCTGTGAAGCGTAAAGCCTGTTGTGGCTTGGAGCCACTCTGTGCTTGGTGCAGACACCTCACACTTGCCAGTCCTCCCAGAGGACTCAGACAAGAAGATACAGCTAGGCAAGAGTGGATAAGAATTGGAGAGAATTCTTGGGGCTCCATTTAGACACTTAACATGTAAAACTCCACTGGCGAAAACACAAAGCAAGTGAAGTCTGCTAGGTCACTGGCCCAGTGGTATCCATTGACTGCCTTGAAGGTATGTGAATGGGAGTCAGATGGCCCTGCCTGTAGAAGAGGGGAGAGAGTGATCTGAGTTGAGGCAGATCCTGCACTTTGAAATGCTGTAGGTCAGGCGCTGAGGATTGCAGAGATGCTTGATCAGTGTTAGGATCCAACAAGGGAAAGGGAAATGAGAAGTGGGCGCTTACCCCAAATATAGGGGGACTATGAACGATGCATATGTTATCATCAGGGAAAGTCTGGTATCGGGCTCTGCAGGGACTGCTTGGTATCTCCAAGACTTCTTGTCTTGTGTACAATGGGGTGGTTGAAATCCTGGCTACTTGGGGGGAAGTCTTCCTGCCGTCCACTGCAGTTCCAAAGTGGTGGAAAGGACAGAGATTCTTCCATGTCTACAAGATAGCTGCTTTCCTTCTACCCCGTTTTTTGCTCTTGTACTGCTACTGCTCCTGCAGCAGTAAGAATCCTGCTCAGCACGGCCGCGGTAAAGGCACTAATCTGGTCTTTCTGCTAGTGGTACTGCTGCATGTTGCAAAATCTGGCCATAGGTACCAATGTCAATGGTATTGCTCCCTAATTTGATGCCACCTGTGACTTGGGGGTGGTCTTTATCTTTTCTGACAGAGTGAGCAGTTGTAATGGTATGGTACCTCCTTCTGACAAGTCTCCTGTGGTCTGCTGCATTTGGGTTCCAGTGTAAGCCAAAAACTTCTGGGTTTGGGCTCTTTAATGGCTGGAGTCTCCTCCCACATAGTCCCTGCTGACAGTGACAGCACATGATCAATAACTCCTGCTCCAGCTGTCACTGCTGCCTGTAAGGCTTGCAGTTTCCATATTGGAAAAGGCCTTTCCTAAAGAGCCTAATCAATATGCTGCTGTGAGGTCTGTTCTCGTTTGCTATATATAATCTGGACACACACAAACTACGTGAGTGAGCATGTGTAGAGGGGGGGAGAGGATGTGCCAGCCCTCTGCTCTCGCTGGCTGGGAGAAGGACACAGCTACCTCTTACTTTGCTCCCTCTCCTGCAGCTGCTGCTCAAGGCTTGTGGC